GTAATAATTAAAATTAACTTTGTAGATTCATTTGTTTTGTGTATTACGAAATTCACATTTTTCATTTAAAAAAAATAAAAAAATCCCATTTTATTAATTTATGTATAATTAAATGCATTTAAACTTGAAACAAGTGACTCTGAATATAAGCGTGGATACTATAGGTTGATGGAATTTGCTTTTTTAAACAACTTGCCTTTGTGTTTTATTTGGTCAAATATTTCAATGCTTTGATAAATGATTCGGTTTGAATACAAACAATTGTTTGGGAGACAATTGATGACTTGTGGCGTATTCCTTGCACGCATATTTAACGGTACTGCACCAAGTACGTTAATCACCCGCCCATATTCTAAAACCGTTTGGAAATAGTGCCGAATCAGACTAATAATTTTAATAAATAATTAATTTAATTATTATCTGTATTTTGGAATGCACTTTGATTTTGGTTTGGTTTACCCTGAGTGTTACCTTGAAATCATTTTTGTTTCATATGCATATATGCTGTTTATCTATAAGCGCAGGATTATGTTTTATCAGTGCATACAAATTAATATTAAGATATAACTCATAAAGATTATTGAATTTCATCAGAGAACAAGAAATATAGCAACTGAAATAAAAGTGATCTCATCGAACCGGTTTTTTGGAAATTATCGTCGCTATCATTTCGTTAACTTGCACTTGGAGGATTACGCTTTCTAGATAGTAATAAAAATCATTGTATTTTTGATGTTATATAATTTATATCTTCATGTAATTTATAAGCCCTAAATCTAGTCATTAGATTTTTAGATGTTCTTGAAATATTCCAGGAATTAAAACTTCTATTTTTTTCTAAATTTATGATAATCTTCATTTTATCGACTATGATAGGCTCGTGTTGAAATGAATTATTTTTGGGGCCCTTTTAATGGCAGCTTCTGAACAAGATATGGCTTTTCCATATCATAGACATAGTAGGTTTTATATGGGTAATTTATTTTATATAGAGCTGTAAGATGAAGAATTATTTCATCTCGATGATGAAAATTCAATTGTCATCGAGATCCAATTTACATCGTAAGATGTAAATTTTATCCTGAATGATTTTTGTCTAATATATTTTGAATACAGATAAATAATGAATAGTATGGCTAAATGTTCATCGGAGGCCAATAAATAAAAAATGAATAGTAGCTTTATATATCAATATTGTATGAATCTCAAGAACCTAAAAAAAATCAATAATGCATCCAGCGAGAAGCTTTTAATTATATAATTTTTTTATTCATTATAGACAATCAAAATACAAATTTTTATGATTCATTAAGTGATCCAATAAAATGTCATTTAGAGATCTCTTCCAGTGAGGAGATTCCCATATAATAATCTGTGTTCCAGTGAGGAGTAAAAGAAACAGTGCTTTAATTAAAAAGTTAGTAGGTCTTGTGGCCATTTTTTGAGCCTTCTGGTTGGAGCATTTTTTTTTTATTAATTGCATTGCTGGATTTGGATATTTGTCTAATTTCATATGGTTTTTGATTATATATATATTTTTTTTTTATCCCAGACTCTATAAGAAGATTATTACTTTGCAACTTTCAAAATATTAATTTTAATATGCCTCTACTTGTTATAATTTTCATAATTTTTTTTGTATATTTTTATATCAGTTATTAAGATATTTAGATAATTAATTAATTTATTTTTATTTCAGATACCAGCACGCAAATGTTTACACCTATATTGGCGAAGTATGTGTTTCGGTCAATCCTTACCGGCCCATGAACATATATGGAGCAAACTACGTCACACAATACAAGGTATATTTAAATGCTCATTGCCAAAAGAAACAAGATAAATAAACATCTTGAATATTATTGTTCTTTCTGAATTTGTCTTCTGCATTTGGCATGGTTAAATTTAGCAACGATAAATAATACTAAAATGTAAAATTTTTGACGAATTTCATGGTAAATAAGATTGAACGTTTGGTATTGAATTTTATGCTTTCACAGTTGCGCCTAAAGCTATATCTAATACTTTAACATTTTAACCTGAAGCGAAATTCAGTTGGTTTGAAACCAATTATCTTGAATTCAATCAGTCTACATTTTTCCTTCTACTTTCTCATTTCAATCAATAACTTTATATTAACCAAACTTATATAAGATTTCAGTACTTATTTGAATTTTGAAGAGTATAATATTTTGTATTAAGTTTGTACGCATACAAACTTATGCATTATTAAATGCCTTGGAATTCACGATAATATCAAAGATTTTTTTTAATCGATATATTATTTTCATATCTCAGTCAGGCAAGGGTGCCCGGTATAAGAGATTATGAAACAAATTATATATTTTATATATACATATCATTTATTTCATTATACATTAATTAGCCCTATATTTAAAATATCTTTAAATATCTCTTTAATCTTTTTCGTCTTCAATTCTTTATAATATTTATTTATTTTCCTTTTGAAGTTATTGTCATCACTGGTCATCTTAATATTGATTGGCAGTTTATTATATATTTTTCATGCGCTCCATATGACATTTGCCCTTAATTTCTTCTTTCTATTATGTCCAATGTGAACATTTCTGTGTTGTCTAGAGTGTTCATATTTAATTTTTTATTAATTAATTTAATTAATTTATCTCTATTGTAGTACTTATTTTAATTCAGTTATATTTCATTTTTTGTATTAATTGGCATTTCTCTATTTTAATTGTTATGTTGTGAATGAATATTTTTTCTGTCTGTAAGTACACATTCTATATCATAATTGATAGTTCAGTTAGAATTTTGTAATGAACTGGTTTTTCTATGAATTTACAATTTTATAGCTAATATCAGATATGGCTTTCAACTTTCCTCCAATGCATCAAATTAAAAAACCGTACGAATTTTTGTCTTAGAAATATGTTGTTCTGATTTCATGTTTCTTGTCTTTATTCTTCATAAGAATACCCTGGCATTTTTAATAGAATTGCTGTGTTCTACAGACATTATTGTATGGCAATACAACCTTTGTGTTTTTATTTATTAACCAATTTTAAGTGTCATTGTCTTAAAGAATATCTACAAAGCTAATAAAAATAAAATTAATTTTAGGGCGCGAGTTGTTCGAAAATCCTCCCCACATTTTTGCGATAGCAGATAGCGCTTACAAGACTCTGAAGCAGAAGGAAACGGACACCTGCATTGTAATCAGCGGAGAATCAGGTTCTGGTAAAACAGAAGCCTCCAAAATTATTATGAAGTACATTGCAGCAGTAACTAATCAGGGGCAACAAGCGGAAATCGAAAGGTAGGTTTTTAATATAAATTCTATATATAATGTAATATATAAACTTTATATGGTTTTCATCATGAATTTACCGATAAATCAATACCTAAAGTTAATTCTTTTTAGGGTAAAGAATGTGTTAATTCAGTCAAATTCAATTTTGGAAACATTCGGAAATGCCAAAACTAACCGCAACGATAATTCATCCAGATTTGGAAAATATATGGATATCAGTTTTGATTTTAAAGGCGATCCAGTCGGTGGTCACATCACAAACTACTTGCTTGAAAAATCTCGAGTTATTCAGCAACAAGCAGGAGAAAGAAACTTTCACAGCTTTTATCAGGTATGGATTAACACCTCCGTTTCCAACCTGTAGGGCGCTCACCCTCTTATAAGGGGGCCTGACTCTTATAAGCTGGGGCGCCTACCTCTGCTTCCAAAATACTATTTTCAAAAATGAACTATTTTTTTTAAATCATACAAAAATACAAAAAAATAATTCGTTTTTATGCATATTTTGAACTACCCGTAGGGTAAGTTATTGTAATGGGCCGAAAATCGGAATTGAAAATTTTTACATTTCTCGACGTTTTGAAGGTTTCTGAACATTTTGGCATACCTCAGAAAAAATGGATGTGTGTGTGTGTGCGTGTGTGTGTGTATGTATGTATGGATACAAATTTTCAGTCACGTTATCGGGCGCACGGATCAACCGATTTGAATGGTTCAAAAAACATTCGATTCCTATTGATAGGAAAAAGAGCTGATTAGTTTTTGGCGAAGGCAGGTCTAGCCGTTTCGGAGATACGGAGCAACGAGTGCAGAAAATAGAAATCGACTTTTTGAGAGAACGGAGTATCCGATTTGAATGATCTAAAAACATTCAATTAGTAATGATTGGGAGAAGTGTTTATTAGTTTTTGGCAAAGGCAGACCCAGCCATTTTGAAGATACGGAGTTAAATATGTAAAAAATGGCAGTTTTTGAGAGAACTAAGCGTCCGATTTAAATGATTCAAAGAACTTTCTGCTTGTCTTAAGAAAATAATTGATTTTGGAAAAAAAATGTATTTTTTTTTTTTTTTTAGTTTTTTTGTATATCGAAAATAATTACATTGTTTATATTACAATACAATTACAATATTTATAATAATCTATTTGAAAACATTCAGTATTCCTCGAACATTTTGTTACGGTACGGGAAGTTCCAGCAATTTGCCTTAAGGCACGATGCCATACACCCCACTAGTTTTACATAATATTGCATGATAATTTGTAGTCTGATAATATCAGTTGAGTACTTATGAAATTGAATAGTTGAAAAAATTAAGGGGGGCGCAACAATAATTTTATTGGAGCGGGGGTGTGCAAAAAAGGTTGGAAATCACTGGTTTACCATCTAATATCTAGTCTAGCTTTGTAAATGTTGATTCATATTTTAAAGTGACTTGATCTTTTTTTCAGTTAATAAAAGGATCAGTCGAATCTGATTTGAAAAAGTATAATCTATCAAGAGATCCTGCCTTATATCACTACACTTCTCAGGGCAGCGCGTCCAATGTCGATTCAATAAATGACAAAAGTGATTTTAAAACCACTTGTAATGGAATGAAAACACTAGGTTTTTCGGTTGACGAATGTGATACTGCATGGAGAATTGTTGCTGCAATTTTGCATCTGGTTTGTACAAAATACTTACAATTACTTGGAACAACAATATACATGACAACATTGTTAAATTGTATTTTTCATGAATTTGTAATTATAATTTGAGTTTATTTTAGGGAAACGTATCCTTTGCTGCCGACCAAGACAAAATAGTAATATCTGATAAAAAGCAAATGAACTATGTCTCAACCTTACTAAAAGTGACGGACCGTGAATTGAACGAAGCCCTAACTCAGCGCGTAATCGCTGCCAGAGGTGATGTTATGCGCAAAAATCACAACTTATCAGAAGCCGAATACGGACGAGATGCCTTGGCTAAAGCTATATATGTTAAATTATTCACTTGGATTGTTGAGAAAATAAATAATGTTATTCAAGTTTCCCAAAATGTAGAAACTCGATACAATCGTGTTATTGGGGTTCTTGATATTTACGGATTTGAGATCTTTGACAATAACAGTTTCGAACAGTTTTGTATTAATTATTGTAATGAAAAATTGCAGCAACTGTTTATAGGTGAGTAACAATTATACTCTAACAAGTAGTTGCTGATTGTCCTTAATATTCATTTATATTTTTTTAATATTTTAGAGTTGGTTCTTAAACAAGAGCAAGAAGAGTATAGAAGGGAAGGAATCGAATGGAAAAATATTGATTACTTCAATAATAAGGTTTGTATAATGTTTTTTTAGTTTGTGTTGGAGTTTAAACTAGTTTCGAGTTTCTGAAAGTGCTCGATATTCTTTTTACTATATGTGGCACACTATTATAAATGTAATAATGTCTATAATTTTGTCTAAAAATAATAGATCACGACTACAAATCTATAACAATTCTTTACTGATATACTAAAGCAACAAAATAAGATAAGATATACAGTTAGAAAATAATTCATTTTTTCAGATTTCAATTTTATCAGACCATATTACAAATGTTTAAACTCTATTTTGATCTAAGTAATCATGTGAAATTTGATAAGTAATTCAGTAACAACATATGCAAATTAGATAGAAGTTGATGATGTATTATGATGATTTTTTTTTAACTTCAAGTGCTTTTGATGACCAAGGTTTTATAATAAACATTTAGATACCAGACGTTTTTTATTATACCTGTATCATATAATGATATGCATTATTTTCGAATCAATATATTTTCACTATTTTAGGTGATTTGTGACCTGGTTGAACAACCTCATGTTGGCGTAATAGCAATTTTGGACGAAGCTTGCTTGAATGTAGGAAAAGTTACTGACGAAATGCTCTTGGAAGCGATGGATAAAAAAATTAAGCGTACATGCCCATTATTCGAGTAGACAACTTAAACCTATGGATAAACAATTAAAACACAAAGAACATTTTAGAATAACGTATGTATTGCATAATTGTACTAATGAAAATCAATCGTCTTAAGTTATTTCTATAAAACTTTAATTATACATATTTTATTAATTTGATTTACATATTTTTTAGCCATTATGCAGGTGATGTGATATACAGCATAAAAGGATTCTTAGATAAGAACAAGGATACTCTGTTTCAAGATTTCAAAAGATTGCTGTATAATTCTTCAGATCCTATAATTAAAAATATGTGGCCTGAAGGAGCATTGGACATCACCAAAGTAAGAATAATTTAAATCATTTTAAATTTTGCTTATATAGAACTACTAATAATCTTGTGAATGTATTGATTATTTAGACAACCAAAAGGCCGAAGACTGCCGGAACACTCTTCTGCAATTCAATGTTAGCTTTGGTCGAAACTTTAAGTTCAAAAGAACCATTTTACGTTCGATGCATTAAACCAAATGACATAAAAAGTCCGACTATATTTGATGACGAACGATGCAAACATCAGGTATACAGTAGTTATTGTATTTATTTAAAATGATAAAAAAATATTATTAGTAGTATAGTTATACTTAAAAAAATGTTTTTCAAGGTTTCATATTTGGGTCTCGTTGAGAACGTAAGAGTACGTCGCGCCGGATTTGCATACAGGCAGAGATACGATCGATTCCTAAAACGGTTAATACCAGTTTTGCTTAAATTATATAATAATAATGTACTGAAATTTCATGAAATTAATAAATTATATTTTAGATACAAGATGATCTCTGAATACACATGGCCTAATTTCCGTAATGGTAATGATAAAGACGGCACTCGTGTTCTGCTGGAACAGAAAGGTTTTGGAAAGGACGTCAAATATGGACATACCAAAATATTTATTAGGTACCTCATCACATTAGACAATAAATAAAGATAAAATAATATCATATTGGTTATTAATTTTTTTTTTCAATATACGAAAGGTCACCAAAAACACTATTAGCATTAGAAAAAGCTCGCAATGAAATGATGCCAGGAATAATAATTTTGATTCAGAAGCAAATTCGAGGATACATTTGCAGAGAACAATATAAACGTATGAAAGCGGCTCATGCAATTATCAAATTTACAGGTGGAATATTAAATTATAAAATTTACTTATCATTATTTTTTATGCGCTTGAAGTTTAAAATTTTTAATTAAAATTTTAGGAGGTACAAACTGCGTAGTTATGTAAGCGAAATGAATCAAAAGTTCCAACATGCCGAAAGAATGCGTGATTATGGAAAAAGCATTATTTGGCCAAAACCACCTCTCAAGGGCATTGAAGAGCCTTTGAGAAAAATGTACCAGAGGTAATTACAATAACATTAAATATTAACTTAATATTTCATTGTGAGTTTTTTTTTAAATGTCGATTTTCAACTTTTGTAACAAATTTGTAATATATCTTACAAGGTGGCGATCGTATAAGATTCTAAGCTGCGTACCGAAGGAAGAATGGCCTCAATTAAGAATAAAAGTGGCTGCAGCTTCAGTTTTGAAAAATAAACGAGCAGAATGGGGTCAGAATCGAAGATGGCTTGGTGATTACATGACCAATCTTAATGAGAATCCAGTTTATAATTTATACAATGCAACCGTACATAATTTAAAGAACACAGACCGATTTTCAACAGTAATGTTCTCTTGCACCGTCCGCAAATTCAATAGGTAAATTTTCTGCACTTTTGATAATTTCGCACTAGACTCATACTTGGGTGTCTAACAATTTGATGTATTACATTTCAGATTCAATAAAAGTGCTGATCGTGTGTTACTAGTCACAGATAATTCATTTTACAAAATTGATGCAGTAAAGTTCAAATCAATGAAAAAACCAGTGCCAATTCAAAATGTAATGTACAATAAATTTGATTTTGATGAATACTGTCTTAGAATTAGGAACTAATAATCAAAAAATTGATTTTAATTATTCTTATTTCAATAGTTTTATCATTCAAATGTCTAATTAATTATTTATAATATAATATTTAAAAATAATAATCTTTAACAATCTTATTGTTCCAACAGATTGCAAGCGTGTCTGTGACTAATGGCCCTGATCAATTGGTGGTAATACATTCTCCACTTGGAAATGATCTTGTTGTATGCTTGCTGCCAATGGCTACATCACCAATGTCATCATTAGGAGCTGTAAATGGAAACTATGACTATTCGATGACAAATATTAATAGTATGACGCCTGGAACTAAATTATATCCAGAGGATCGTGTTGGAGAATTAGTAGGAGTTTTATGTAACAGATATTCCAAGTAAGCGATAAAGAGCATCAAATGTATATTATATTTCTTAAGTTTTATTTCAATAATAAAATATTCTCTTATTTACAGATTAACTGGTCAAGAATTAAGAGTGAATATTCAACAAAGCTTTCCTTGCATGTTAGGTAATAAGACAAAAACATTATACACAAGTATTTCACCTAACGTACAAACACCAACATTTAAACATACAGGACAAAGTATTGAATTGCAACTTCCTAGTTTCCAAAATAGCAATGGGAAAGATCATTAAATATTGTATTTATAGCTCATTTTGTATAATAATTGTATATTGTTTTAATATTTTATTTTAAATTAGCTTTTCAATCATAGGTTTTTAATGGAATTTTATGGTGCTTTAAAAAATATTTTAATGTGTTAATTTTTTATCATGATGATTGTGATTGGAAGCTATACATATATTGTTATATATTAAGATAATTATATTTTTAAAATTATTTATTAAGCTTTACATAAAATTACATTTTGGATTTAAAAAGAAACTTCTAAAATTGATTCAGTTTGCTAATCGTGTCAATTTTAGTTTTGTAATATTTAATTATGATACTATAATCAACAAAAATCATTTCATATCGAGAAATGAGTATCAGATATTTTTATTATAATAATTATAAAATATGTATCAACACTAGCCATATAAATGTCATTGAATTTGTATTATTCGTATTATGATAGTGTTAGCATATAAGTGCCTTTAAATGGGTGCATTAAAGTGATAATGGAAAAGTAATTACGTTGCATGTGCATTTAGTTTAATTCTAACCTGAGATGCCATATGCATTTTTTCATAGTACTTACATTAGCTCTAAGATAAGAAATCATTTGTTATTAATTTATATTATTTGAGCCGTACTTAAATTATTTTAATAATATAACTTTCCATTATTAAATTATAATGTTTAAAATAATGTGCACAAAAAAGAGCATTTTTACAATTATAAAAATAAATAATTTATTTTGTATGTTGCCTATTGAATGATACTTATTTAAAATTTGTTTCATGTGCCTTAATTGCGAAAATAATGAAGCATAAATTATTACAATTAAAAGTATTTATTTTTGCTACTATAGTTAAATTTTATACAAAAATTATTTTTATATAAGGCTTTCTATGTCAATTATTGTAATCACAAAATCATATTGTAATACATTATGTACATTTTATAAGTGGATTGTAAACTAGTCAAAATTACTATTAAAAATATTTTTTGTATCAAATGTGTAATTTAACAGTACTGTTTGTGCCATTGAGTTTATCATTGTACTTATTAATTGTGGATAATGAGATGAAAGAAAAAGTTAATAAAAATTCTTGTAAATAATTGACATATAACATTCCATATGTTTGTTTGAGCTATTGCTTTCAAGCGTTATTGCATAATTGCAAATATTTTTAATATATATTATAAACTTATTCATATACTTGTATCTTACCCAATTCTTATATGCATATGTTAAATTGTAAGTAAAATAAAAGGCTTGTCTACGATTCACTTTTGATTGATCATTTAAATCAAAAATACAGATATCTGTATACTAATTTTTATAAATATAAATACCAATGAACAATAAGCAAGGTATTTGATAAATAAATATATCAAATCAACCAATAGTAATAATAAAAAGTTAAATATAATTCTTTATTGTGTAATATTTGTTCTTTTGCTTATGTAGACTTGAACAATTAACATTTTTAGCTTTAAATGTTTGCATATTTTATTAAATAATATATATTTTAGATGAATGCTACATCGCTGATCTGCCATTAGAATAAAGCATTTAAATACTATTCAACACATAACTAAAAGAAGTCATCTTATTGAAATGTTTTGCTTATCATGCACTGCTATACTTTTACTAATATGGCAGAAAACCACTTGTTGCTAAAATTTTCAGACAATCAATTAAATAAAGAATAATTTCTTACATAAATTTGGATTCAAATATTGCATACGTACAGATTTTATGAGTATAAACTTATTGTACATGAATAATTTGAATGTTTTAATTTAAATTTAAATATTTTCGTGCGCATTTTCGGAAATTATATTGGTAGTACATATCTACATGCAACAAGTTCACATCAGATAGAATAGGAAGTGAACCAAAAAAGCAAAAAATTAATAACTGACAATTGGCGAGTTTTTTCACGAACCTTCTGATAATTATTTATACAATTTAATAATTATTGCTTTATTTATAATTAACATATTAAAAAGCGCTTGCAATACTAATATAAGTAAGAAAGATTTCATTAACGTAAAAATAAAAATGAATGTGAGAAAAGAATTAGGTTTTATCAAAGATGGACGATCAAGTGGAAAGGGTGTTTTTAAAAAGCCGTTTCCAGTTCTACCCAGTAAGTAATAATTTCTGAAAATAATTTTAAGTAGCTCTAATTAGATTTTATGAAAGAAATGTGATTAATCATCAGTGATAATCTGATTATCTTGATGCATAATACCGACCCTTGTATACGTAACATGGAGTATAATAAAACGATGACAGTTGATTAGCTTAAATTGACTTTAAAATGTGACTTTCTTTAGAGCTATAACTATTATATAAAGAATCTAAGCTTAATAAGTATAATCACATTTTTATACTATGAAAAATTGTGCAAATTTGATGAAGATATTTTTAATTTGAAGATACCTTAAGCATGTAATAGTGAAACAGTCATAAACAAATTGCTCGAAAAACTGTAAGGATTAGTTTTAAATTGTTAAAAATAATAACGTGAGCATATCATTATGAGCATATTATTTGTATTAAATCTATAACAAATAAATATTTTTTGTTATTTTTACTTGAGGAACTTAAGTACAATTGTACTCAATTTCGCACATAAAGATTTTAACTTCCAAATTGAAGAACTTCTTTTTTACTACAGGTTCTGTAAATACTATCAGTTTTTCTGATAGTTCGAGGCTAGAAACACCAAGAGACAGAATTCGCGGACAAAGGTTTGTCATTTAAATATTTGTTAGTTGAAAAATTGTATCACCAGCCGTCAAATTACTAGAATTATGTTTATAAAACAATCAAAATGTTTTTAAAGTATAAATATTTCTGCAGTTCTTCATCTGATCAGCGAACCGGCCAAACAGGCCGATCTGGTGTGAGCTCGAGCACACAAGATTGTAGCTACGTCATTTTAGGTGCGATTTCTATCCTTTCTCATCATCATAATGGATTGGTAAAAAAAAGTATTTTTCAAGCTTCTATGTATTTTGCCATTTTAGCAATAACTGAAGGACGAGCTGCTGCCAGAGGTGAAGTGGGTATGGCTTCTATTGATATATTTAGTCCTTCTTTGTCGTTGTGCCAATTGACGGACTGCAATTCCTACATTGGAACACTGATGATCATTAATGTTCTGAATCCAAATGAAGTATGCAAATTCATCAGATTTCTCTTTAGAATTAGTATAAAATAAGTTATCATTCTAATGTTTTAAAAACTCGAGTTGATTTATGACCAATTCTTTTGCAGATTCTTCTACCTGCAACGATTTGTGAAGATGCGGAGTCTAGAATTTCAACTGCATTCGATATAGATTTCCAAATATAATGATAACTTCTACGTTGCGAAAATTATTTAACGATTTAAATGGAAAAGCTTACATCAATAAATTGTGCGCCAAAAATTTCAACAGTGTCAAGCAGATCATAAACGAAAAGTAAGATTATTATAAGATATTGTAATTGAAAGAACACTAATATTTATTTAATATTTTTAGATTTTACACTTTATGTGCAGCAGCTGCATTATTAGTAACTATTGAAAAACGCAATAATATTATTTATTCACCAAAAACGATGAGAATAGAATATAAAAATGCGGACTTTTGTGCACTCATAGGTAATCAGAATAATTTTAATCATTTATTTTTAATATCTAATATAAATTTTAGAATTAGAAAATGAGAAAAAAAATATTCAAATTATTTAAACCGATAAAATATTCAGAACGCAATCTTTGATTATTATTATCTTCCCGTAGGGTAAGTTATAGTAATCGCAAAAAAATCGAAAATGAAATTTTTTTTATATCTTTATACCGTTTCAGAGGTTTCTGAATATTTTGGTATACTAATATGTGTGTGTGTGCGTGTGTGTATGTGTGTGCGGATACAAGTTTTCGTCGACGATTTCGGGAACACGGATGAAGCGATTTGAATAATTCAAAAAACATTCGATTCGTATTGATAAGGAGACGTGCTGATTAGTTTTCGCGAAGCGCAGGCAGGTTTAGCCGTTCCAAAGATATGGGGCAAAAAGTGCGAAAAA